TTATACTAACCTCTATCTCATATAGTGATGCCTTCGCCGGTGGTTTCTGTGCTGGTATCGTCTCGGGCAAGTCCCTCGATGACAGCATCGACATGGGTCAGTGGCTCGCCAGCAAGAGCATCCAGGAGCTTGGACCTTCGTGAGTTTTCCCCAAAGCAATGCATCGCAAGAATTCTAGCTAACAACTCTCAACCTACAGCTACCCCTTCCCCAAGCAGACCTACTCTCGCTCCTAAGCGTTCGTAATGTAGGCTACGAAAAAAAGCATAGACTACACCTTCAACACATCTCCCAACCTAATTTTGGAAGATATTGTGCAATCCAGTTCAACAACCGGATGAGCACCACCTGACTTTGGATGATTCAACCCTCTATACCCAATTTTTTCCTTTTCTTAAAACTTGACGACTTCAACGTACTCTCTGGAAACATATACTTTTCGAGGATCTTGTGCTCATTATTTGTGGCTATTATTACCGGCCACTTGGATCAATGAACATATTCGGGCGATTCTTCTATCCACATGAAAGAACACATCTCGTAAACTACTATGAAGAGAAGCACGTAGAACGCAAAATTGAATTTCAACTGCCTACATAACCAGCACGATGGTGTCAAGAGAGTAATGGGCCCCAAGCAATCTGCAACCCATACTCGTTTCAAAGATCACCGGATGTTCGTGCCACATGATTCTTCAACAAAAAGACAATAAGGCTAAGATTGATGGGGATAACGGGGTTCCATGGTGCATGAAAAGAAAAGGCAGAAAACAGAACGAAAACAAGCGTCTTCTCCAATGGCAGATTGCCATTCATATCCTCGTATTGATCATGTCGCATGTTGAACGCACGTATCCGTCCAAATTGCGAGAGCGAGGACCAAAGAAGTTCCTGCATTCTAGAAACAACAGTGTCCTCGCCACCAGAGGACTAGTGCGGGATCTGCCACTTGTAAATGGGCCAGCAGTACAATCTCGTCTGGTCGTTGTGAAGGTGCACACTGTGAGTAGGCCTGAATGTGTAGACACGCAAGCAAAGGCGCATCGCAGTACACAGGCGGCCACGCTCACAGACAAACACAGTACACGCCAGGATATTTGGAGGTCGAGCTGCACTGTTAATTCCGACAGCTTGCCTGGCTGGTAGTGTAATATGCATATGCACATAGAAGAACTAAAAAATGAGAACTTGGATATTCGAATCAGCCGCCTTGGCCACAGGGTGGGGTTTGTCCGATTGCTCCAAGCTGTGTTCCAGGCTTACGTCCTCCAATCCCGGAGTTGTAGGGAGTTGCTCCAGCGAGGCTGCTGGCAATGAAGGCGTCATTGGCCCATGAAGGATGTCCTAGGCTGCTGGGCGTCGCCTGTGTAGGGAGTTCGAATGCACCGAAGGTCGCTCGGCCGTGCTCCCAACCGCTGCCAGTGGGACGAGCATGAGACATGGTGGATGACGCCCACGGTGTTGGCATCGATCCTACATCCAGCGAGTTTGAAAACTGCGTCTGGGCCATCAGGTGCTGTCGGAGCATGAGTTCATTTGCTAGCTGATCTTGCGACGGTGAGCGCTCAGAGGTCATGACGTTTCCAGAAGGCAGGTGGTGCAGTGGAGTTTGCTGGCCAGGCTGTGGACCAAGACCAGGAGGCGTTCGTGGAGGGGCGGTGTCTCTCAGCGGCGTCCAAATGCTGGGGAGGCTGGGTATGGCGGGCCGTGAGGTATATGACTGAGCCGATGGCGCTCTGAGAGAATCGGCTGCATTCATAACTGGTGGGCCAAGCCCAGGTGGAGGGGCGATTGGGGTGGTAAGTGGTGGAGAGTTTTCATCGCAGAACGGATAAGCATTGACATTAGGTGAGACATGCGTAGGTGTCGATATCTCCCCGGTGTTCATGAAAGCAAATTGGTCATTGGGTGGGGTTTCATATGTGTCCGAGTCAACAAGTCGCTCAACACCCTCAACGATCTGGTGCATATTGGCGGACATAGATGCCGATGCAGACTGAGAACCGCCGAACAGACTCTGAGCTTCTGCAGCAGAGTATGGATTCTGAACGGCCTGTGGGATATCCTCACGCTCAATGCTCGCAGCCGAAAGTTCATGCTGGCGGCCATGGGGGCTGGAATAGAATTGCGAAGGCAGATCTTCTTCCTGATAGATAAATGTCTTCTTATCTTCACTATCCACAAGAGCAACCGGAATTTTCTAAACGAGATTAGCAATCTGCTTGTTTGTTCATGATATGTTAGGGGCTTCCACGTACTCCTCTCACAACCAAGTCGAGTCCATCAATCACGAATTCACGAATCCGATAGAGCATTTCCATGTTTGGATGACTTCTTTCAATCCCAATATCGTGCATTCGGGGCTTTGACTGATCACCACCTCGACCGTATCGGCGAGAAGTGGCATCCTGATCCAGAGGCGCAAAACCAAGACTTTCTTCGTCTTCTTCCAATAGATAATCAACCTCGGGAAGGCTGACCACATCGAAAGAGGATGCAAGCAGGCTGAGTGTACCGGCATAGATTTTCCAGAACTCTTTGATTTGGATCGACAGCGCTGAATCCTTTTCCTCTTTCTGTTCAACGAGAGACTGGCTATTTGTAAGTAGCCATGAGCTGTAATGGCGAAGCGCGGGTAGGATACGGCGAGCAACCACAGACACTTTGTCTGGGATAGGCAGTGCGTCTTTGCTGTTTGGATCTTCAAAAGAAGCAGTCCGTTCTAATTCGACCAAAAGTATTTGCAATAAGGTGAAAAAGGTCTTCACATTGATACGCTGGAAAAAGACGCGTGCATCCACAACGGACTCATCTGAGGAATAAGTAAGCATATGCATTCCGCAATGATAATGTTTCGAACTCTTACCAACAGACCGAACCTTGGCAAAATCCTCGGCCGCAATATTGATGAGACAGAACTTTTGAAGTGTCCCTTCCAGTGATCGTTCTCTGATTTCGACTGCTAGTTGGCTTAGAACTTCACTCTCTAACTCATCATGCTCCGGGAAGTCGGTTCCCTTGTAACATTTGGCGTGGAGATAGAGAAACCACGGAGTCAGAGCCCTTCCAGGGATACCGGCATCTTCGGGGCGAATCAGCTCTCGTTTAGCCCAAGCGCTCATGATTTTTCGGAGTTCAATCTCTAGATTGCCCTTCGCTGTAGGATGAGGTTCTTGAGCTGAAAGGGCTCTGTAGAGATGGTAGGTAGCACGGAGATGGTTTCCATCCGCGAGAGCGATAATTGCCAATTGGTTCTGAGATGCACCTGATGCAGGGTTGATCACCGACGCCAAATCATAATAACCAATGGCAGGGCCCCAGTTGCGATCTTTGCTGACGAGTTCCGATTCACGATAACGGGAAAGGTCTCCTAGACGAATAAGGGTTGCGTGGCATGACTGGAGAATGAGCCTGCGCAGATTATTGGAGGGCTTGGCGGGAGGTTGGCCGGACAGAACTAGAAACAACCGCGGGTCAGCATATAGAAACGCGGCGCGCAGCTTGGGTGCCTGCCTTACTTTCAAAATTGAACTTGCGCGCAACTCTCTCCAACTCAACAATCCCCCCAAAGCGCGACGACAAATGCTGAATGTATCCTCGGTAAAACCGCTGGCTTGACTTTATGAAATCGAGATAATGGCGTTCGAGTTTGCGCCTCTCGACTGGCTTTTTCTTGCCGTGTTCTTCGCGAAACTAATTGACATGCAGATACAGTCAGTAAATCCACCCTTGCAAAAAGGTCCGGTGGGGGTTACTCACACGAAGCAACTGCTTGCGAAACCGATTGTTCACTTTCAAGTGCGCATCCCAAAGACGACTCTCCACGTCGACCTCGCGGGAAGCACTGAAGTCGAGAAGGATTGCATTTTGAGAAGAGATTCGGAATCTAAAAAGATGTCAGCCTTGGAACGCCGTGTGCGCGGGGCTTGTCACTGACTCGGAGAGGAAATGTTCGAATTCATCGAATGTGCGCCGTTCTTGCGAGAAACATTGCAGAAGCTCCTTCTCAGCTTCTATCGCAGTCCTGTGTCGTATAACTGGTCAGCGTCCACAATCACAAAAAATCGAGGGGAAACTGACTTCCAGGCATCCGGGAACGAGGGCGCCATCAGGGAGTTAGCCCGGGGATCCCGAGCGTCAACCTCGCCGGTCAGATGGCTATGGCTTGGAAAGTGAGCGGCGGAGGAGCCATCAGTATGTGAGAGACATGAAAGCGCAAGCTGATGAGAGTCGAGAGTATGAAAATGCATAAATGCGGTCCCAGCGTACTATCGATGATTGGTGTTGCCAAGGCGGGAGGTATCGTGTCCCGTATGACAATTACACGTTTTATTTCGTCTCAAAATGTGAACTTCGGGGCTGTGAAGGAAGACAAATGCGCCGTCGAATGACCCGAAAGAAGTTATAGACCATCACATTGTCGGAGGGTTATAACATCCATGGAAGACATCCGTGGAATCAACCGGATACTCATCAGCCGCCTCACCAGCCGCCGATGTTTTCAGACTACTATAAATTCTGTGTACGTTCGGATTAATGAACATTTTTCTACCAGATTTTGATATCATAATGCTGCTACACATTGCGTACTTTCTATGAATGTTTGCCCCCTGGCGTAAATGACATTCAAAATGCGTAGTAAGAGACCGGAAGAAGATATCAGAAGAAGTCTGAGTCTATATATAGCTAGCCGCTAACCTAGGAATCTATTGTTCTCAAAAATGTTCCTAAAAAAACAAAATAGTCGGCCGCATAAGCGGCTTTGTGATGTCTTCTCAATGGTCTTCTCAGATATCATTCTATTTCGATGTCTTTTTAGCTTTTATATGTCGACGGCAAAAAAAAAACCCCCCCGGAAAAGGCTTTGATGGACATTTCTACAACCCTTGATTATTCCAGAGAAGGCGGAGAGTGGAACAAATTAAGTCTTGGATGGTCACTGTACTCTTCCGTACCCTCTCCAAGTTGACCTACATATCCATATGCAAGGTGAATTAAACCATGTCGAAACGATCCAGAAGCTCGAGATCTCCATTTCCCGAACTAGATTCAATATCAGTATCCTCGATCACAGTGAATACCACAACTCCCCCTTCTGATCGCAACAAGTTCATCGACAGTGGTACCAACATCCTCCCCGAGGTGATGCATTGCTCCTTACCGCCTCACCGCGAGACACTGCAGTTCACCTCCTACGAGGATTACGAGGTTCATTATCTTCAATGCCATGTCAATCGCTGCTCCGAGTGCAGCAAGAACTTCCCGACTGGTCATTTGCTCAACCTACACATAGAGGAGAACCATGACCCGCTAGCTGCTGCGCGGCGAGCCCGTGGAGACAAGACTGTATGCCCTAGCTTCCTATCAGTTCCTACCCACTTTACTAAATAAAAGAAAAGTTCGGTTGCTTCATCGAGGACTGCGAGCGAAAATGCTCAACCCCACAGAAACGACGACTACATCTTATCGACAAGCACATGTTTCCCCGGGTATGGTTTCCAGATCAGAATAATACCCCTACGTCACTGACACATTCTACAGGATTACAACTTTTACATTGTTAATGATGGCATCGATGCACAGACATCTATGCTGCGACCTATGAATAGTCACAGGCGACGCCTTTCATCATCATCTGCTCTGGAGGGCAGGTTGCGGCGTCGAAGCTCGGCGTCTCAATCGAGCCCACCAACAGCACCAATCCCCGAAAAGAAGTCGCCAAATGAAATGGACATTGATGAGCTGGAAAAATCGATGTCTGCTCTGAAGTTTGTGCCTACAAGCGTCACTAGAAATCGTAACAAGATGTCTGGCAAATAGTATTGTATGTTGTACTTGTTTTGGATATACGCAATCCAATGTTCCTATGAGAGATGAGATAATGAGCAATGGAAAAGGAGTTACTTTTGAGACCTCACTATATGCAAGTTCTAGGAAAAACAAGATAAGCAGTTGCTATTGTCCACAGCAAACACCGGTAGGGTATAGACAGCACTAAGCAAGTGACGAAGTCATAATACATATAGATTGAACGAACATTGAACCCAAATAACCCTAAGTCCCAGTCCCCGATATACAAAAACTCCCTGACACATCATCCAAAAGACAAAACATAGGATCATTAGTATGGCCATTCCAAAGAGACCATTAATTTTTTTTTTCTTCGCAGAGACGTCGGTTGTGTCTTTGCGCCAAAAATTGAGCGGACCAAGCATAAAGCCTAATCCCGTGCATCATGGTGGGTGGCACACCGACATTCACTGCGCCCGGAGGTTCTCTGCTCAATAGAACAAAGACCTGATCCCGAGTGACAGGTCCCTCCAAACACCCAAATTAGAATTCCAAAAGATCTGCATAGGCATCCAAGCTTGAGCCAACCAAATCAACGATCGCCCAACTAGTATTACCCTTGAAAGTCCGCGCCCAGACACGGACAATCGCAACACTGAGTTGCCGTACTTTGTAAGGATTTGCCATGAACTCCATATCTGGTGCGCCAGGTGGATCAACCGCCATTTCTGTTTCATCCATCATGCTCTTGATCCACAAGAGCAACTTCCGCTCATGCTCCGACAATCTCTGCTCAGACTGTGTTGTAGGAATGGCAAGTAACCAGCGACTAAGAAGGAAAGCGCATTCCAGACTGCAAAGCGAATGCTGAATGCTCCAGAAGAATGAATGTGTCCTGGCCACAAAGTCAATTCCCAGTCGTACTGGGATTGAAAGAGCATGGGCTGAGTGAAGCAGCGCCATAATCAGCCTTGGACTACGTGCGATGGCAGGGGACTCGGTCAAAGCTGCTGCAATTTGGGCTGGATCTTGTGTGATGAGGTGGCGGCAGGGACCCAGGTCAACATGTAAACGGATGTAGGCGAGTCCCAACAGAGCTGTGGAAGTGAATGCAATTGGACCGGCCGGGTTCTGAGGATCGATGCTAGATTCGGGTGTGCGCTTCCAGAGAGCCTTCCACGCGCTCAATGAATTGTCCAGTACATTCAAATCATCATGTCTCAAACTGGTGCCCTGCATTTGAGGCGCGGAAAGACAGAGCTGTCGAGCAAAGAAAATCTGTTGGATGATGGCGTGGATGAGGATATAGTTTCCAAGGGGGGATATGGGTGCCGACGGAATTGACATGGATGATTTCAGGAATAGCCGGGCAAAGGCCTCTTGGAAAGACACATCCGATACTTGCCTGGTGCGATGAACACGGCGCCATTGTGAGGCATTGCTTGCTTTCCAAAGTTCATGAGAACACGGCATGTTTAACTTCAACTCCCCATTCAGAATCAGAGGAGGGATGTTATACATGATTGAGTGGAGGTTGAAGAAACAGTACACAATAAGCTTTGTACGTCTGTTGCCTTCCCTCCGTACCCACTCTTCCCAGCTGATAGGATCTGGCGTGGGAGTTGATTCAGACAAGCCATGTTCACGCACAAGCCTGGCCAAAGTACTCTGGAGCGAGAGAATCTCCCGCAAGAGCTCTGGATGTCGTTCCCAAGACGCGAAGACAGTCAGCAGCAAGAATGTTCGAATCACCTCCATATGAGCATCCGAGTCATCCGGCATGTATATTGATGCATTCAGTGATGAATTTGGCATTTGTTGATGATGCTGGAAAGGGCTGCTTGCCGTATTAGAAATCATCGATGAGCCACGAGAGTTATGAAACCCAGATGGTGGGGATATATAGTTCCATGATGGTTGAGGCACTTGCTTGCTGTCTCGCCGACGGAGTCGCTCCAATAAAATTGCTTTGGCTGCATGGAAAAGGTCGATGCCCCGGCTGTTTTCAAAGCGATAGTGTGAACCAGCAGCTGCCAGCGCTAGCGTAAGTTCAGGGGAAGCTTTAGCAACCGATAGCGTAGGTACATGTACAAACGGAAGATGTTCGTTCAATCCGTTGATATACCCAGCGAAGAACCGAGATAGGGCATGCCGCGATGGCGGAACGAATCCTTTTGGGAGAACGTATGAAAACTCTTCGAGTTTCGAAATGAACGCCTGGCGATCTGAGTTAGAGATGTCCCATGCTGGCCGCGTGCTCTCATCGGCCAGGCCGATACGATCATCCATTTCGTGAGATTCCGGTTGCAGTGATGGCAGCCGGGATCCAAAATTTGAGAACGACGGGTGGTCTTCCGCTGGCCCCCGCGAGTCATTCATAATATCTCCGCCAAGTCGTGGTATCGTCTCACGAGGTGGTTTTGAATCGATGGTCATACCTGGCGGTAGCATGGGCTCCTCGACCGACGAGAACACGCCTGAGTCCCAGTCGGACGACAGACCCACACTTTCCAGGAAAACTGTGAAATCCTGGACAGGGTCCCCAAGATCAGTGAGATCGAGAATCGAAGGCTCTACGCCATAACTATCGGCAATTGCCCTCTCCTGTATGTGAGGAAGTGGTTGTGATGTAGAAGTGACTGTGTGTGGTGGTTTTCTCATAGACTCTAAACTCTCTTGTTGACCTTCCAAAGCGACATGGCTTGCGGCATGAGATAAAAGATTTAAATCATAACCCCAGGAGGGATTAAAGTGAGGTGTGTCTATAATTGATGGCGTTTGAACCTGAACTTCAGGTGGTGGAGGAGGCACTTGGGTGTGGACTGGGATGGCATCTGCAAGTTCTAACATGCGCGACTCATGATGGGCGGGTTGGATGAGGTTGGACTGAATTGGTATTTCGTGGTTGTTTTCGTGACCATTCTGAACTCGATGTTCTCGACTGGCTGCACTTTCAGCAGGGTGCACTAATCGCTCATGTCGCACTAGAAGATCACTGCAAAATTATATTGATAAGCGATTGGGATTTGATTCCAGGAATCGCAATAGGAACCTACCTCCGAGCGAATGATTTAGAGCAAATGTCACATGAAAAGGGTTTCTCCTTTGTATCTGTTGTCCTACATTAGATAAATTCCAAGCCGGAAGCAAGAGGTTACTCAACGGGTGCGGAGATGGCGTTGGAGATGCTCTAAGCGAGCAAAAGATCGACTGCAATATTCACACGATAAGGACTTTCGGTGAGCAGCACCTTTCTTTTTAGATTTGGCTGACTTTTCGTCCTCCATCTTGGGGTTTTGGGGATGGAATGGGGGAGCGCACTAGAGAGGGGAAGAATTTGAGGCCCGCGGGCTGTTTGAGCGGGGAAATTGGACTAAAACCCCCACAGTGAGGGGACGGTCACGTGTTGTATAGATATATGCGATCTACTCCGTCCAAGTATAGCAAATGAACATCTTTTCATTAGAAGATGAGTCTAATCCCTTACTCTATGGCCTGAAACGTGTTGTAGATGAGCCTGCTTGCTGCTGATGCCCAGGCCGGGTATGCATGCGCTCGGGTCTCCACTGGTGCGGAGAGCGTTAGTCGATTGAAAATTGTCCGGTATATATATAGGGTTGTCTGGAAAGCATATGTGAAGCACTGGATGGATATTATGTCCATTCATGGCAGCTTTGCTATTGTAGAGGACTTCAGGTAATGGTTATAGGGCTCCCATCTAAATGCCCTAGTAGTTTATCCGTAGAGGAAAACCACCGATACTCCATTGGCCTTTCATTTCCTTTTCTATAAAGTATGGGGTGGTAGGTAGTTAGATAAAAGATAAAAAGATAAAAAGAAAGGTATAGAGTGATTCACAAGATGGTAGTTCTTAGTATTTTTCAGCTAGTATAAAGTCGATAGTACTCCGTACAAATATATATATACTCCGTGTTCTGTTCTGGTTTCTACTCTACATGGAGTACGGATGAGAGACAACATCACTAATTGTGTTCAATAGAACCAAGTAATTATTTGCATTTGTATCTGAATAATGATCTGTCTAAGACAGTAGCAGTTTCACTCTATATATGAAGCGTAGTGTTTCACTAGTGGGGGCTGGTACCACTTTTCCGTTTTAGTGCTTTTAGTGCCTTAATCGCCACTTTTGGGCTTAGATGCGAGTTGTGGAACTGGTCTAAGAAAATAGCCAATCCGAAGGTCAAGTTGATATCTGAAACATTCTCTAACCCAGGAACCAGAACCGAAAAGGATACCAGCTCCAGATCTTTTATAGTGCTCTTTTATGGTCAGACCAATTTAAGACATGCAAAACTCTAGAAGCGAGCTAGATCACTATATGGTGGATATCGGCAAAATAACCTCTAGACCGTCGATCTATATTGTCCAGCAAGGGGGAGCTACATACAGCTCACAAACCATGGTGTCATCGTATGTTGTATGAACTTTCTTTCCACTTTCAAGAGTGCTAATGTAGAATCATATGGTTAAATGGAGACAAACTAATAAGCAGAACGCCTTATCCAAATTGCTATAGCGTATGAAGTACTACTCCCATACTTGCTTCAAAGTTAATGCAAGTCATAAAAGGAAGCTATTATAGGAAACACCATAACTTACTAGAATTATTAGAACCAAAGTGTATTTTTTTCTCGATGAAACGAGTATGAGACAGCTCAGAGATAGAACGCGTGGAGTGAAATATTAGTCTTTACCCCCCCCCTTGATACGGTGCCCGGACCTCTCCTCTGTATGTACCTTAGTCAGAGAATCCCGATGCCCGGTGTTCCATAGAGGTTTCAGTTTCATATCTCAAATTCCAACTGGAACTTCATCTCTCAGACCTTTGATTCCCAACTTTTGTGTCAATCACCTTTTCTAAGTGGGGAGTGGTCATCTCGATCCCGAAACTAAGTGGCCCGGGTCTCGCCCAAAAAAAAAAGCTCAGACGGAAAGTTGCATTGAGGTCCCTCATTTCGATTTCACCCGCTCTACTGGAATCACCCATTGTTTTACCCTGGTCAGTGTCT